GGAAGAAAAAAAACGCAGTGACAGTAATAACGGCTGAGCCAGACTGTTCACACACAACTTGAGGCAAAGGTCTTCCTAACCCTGCAGAAATGGGAATGGCACACAGGAAGCAGGCTGGGCGCACCCTGCGGGCTCTCCCTCGCTTTTCAGAAGATTGTGCCAGCAGTGAGTCCTCAGCCTCACTCATTTTGTCTGAGTTTCATTCAGAGCTCTGCAGCCAACAACGCCTTCACACCTGCCGTGGGAGTTCTGCCCTCCCCAGGATGCTGACAGAAGGCTGCTGTGTGCACTGGGCCAGCCGGGCTGCAGCGCATCTCTCTGGGCACGCAGGAAGGTATGGGGACAGCTGCTACTTGCAAGGAAAACTGCTGCATGAAGTAATTACATATCATAAACTGCAAGCCTAATTGCAAGTTGTTGGTAGTTAAAACATACCCACAACACAGATGAACGCTTTCTACCATGTAACAAAAACTGTCATTTGCATTCTAATCACCTCTGAGCACTCCACTCTTTTATGAAAATTACATTAAAATACAAAAGAATAACCCCAAGAGAAGTGGTTTTTCCCTCAGCAGAACTTGTGTTGGATTTTGGGTGCTGCTGGGTGAGGGGGCCAGAGAGACACAGCTCAGCACAGTGCTCACCCATCACTCAGAACAGAGTATACACCTAGGCTGTTCACTTCATTCTGCATTGCATTACAATAAAAGTGACTCTCCCAGACAGCTGTGCCTCCACAGGCTTCACCTGAGCAATCTGGACACCCAAACTTAAGTACCATTGAAAGTAGCCAACAGGGCTTTTGCAGATGTTATTCGAGGAATCCCACGCTGGGCGCAGACACGTGCTGCCTCACAGCGCTCCTCACCCCGCACACTGCCAGGCACAGCCACAGGAACCCACCTGCCCGCAGAGCAGGGACGCACCGCAGGGTCTGGGCTCTTTCAGAGGTTAAGAAGTGACAAGAGGTTACAGCGACAAGCTTCAGCAAGGCAGATTCTCATGTTTCTCAATGCAGAAATTTCACCTGGCAGCTGGGTAGGTGTGAGGAGCTGCCCAGACAAGGGGTGAAACCTCCATCTGCAGATACTAGAAATTCTGAGCAGGCCACCAGCACTGCTGGATGGATGAGGGAGCCCTCCTGTGAGCAGAGGCTGTGTGACCAACGCCTCCCAACCCACTCTGCTCCATGAACTGCTGCACAGCATGACGTCAAAATATCAAACGGATCAGATAATTTCCTTTCTGGATCACAGCTGAACAACACACAGCCTACAAGAGAAGGTCCCCAGCCCCACGTGCCCAGCAGCCATCCCTCCCCAGAAGCAGCTGGGGCAGAAGCTGGCCCCTGCTATCCCACAGGCACACTTCTGTGCCACAGCTGCCAACAGGCTAACCCATGTCTCTGCAGAGTGACCTCTTGTGTAAACCCTCCCCCGTCAGACACGCACAGAGCATTGTTCTGCTGTAGCAAAGTGAAGATTTTTAAGAACCTTGCAGAAATTTCTTGTCTGGTAAGATCTTCACCATGTGCCAAATGGTGGAGGCCCAGCAATAAGTCCCAGATCCTGATACAGGAGTACAGGAGACAGCGATGCAACCACACACAGCTAATGTGAGCACAACAGCCTTATTTCCTTCGTACGTAACGGGAAAAAACCCACAAGGTATCTGTTTCTGTGGGCTGGGGCATGCTGTGTTATGAAAACCTGTATTTATTTATGGAATGCAATGTCCCTGAGCTGCACTCTCCAAGCCCTAAGCCGTGGCTTTTGGCAGCCAGGACAAGGCATCTCTCCTCCCCAAACCCTCGGGACAGAACAGGAGATGCTGCTCCAACCCCCACCTGCAGCACAGACCATCCCATTGCGGGAGGCTGCTGCCAGAGAGAGGGGACTGACACCCTCCATCCATCACACCTCCAAATCTCTGCTCCAATCCACGCACTGATGAGGAGGTATCAGGACAATGCCTATTAGCTCCCTGCTTTCCTTATCAGAGACCAGAACACACTAGTTAACAGGTAGCAACACCTATATGCAACCTGTGCTCCCTAAAAGCACTTATAAAGGAGGACGCTGACCTCTGCACTCACTCCATCAGCAGGCTGTATTCTCTCCAGATCAATGGATAATTAACGGAACCAAAGCAAGGCCGCCTCTGCCCCAAATCACCAGAGTGGCCTCAGCGGGGAACACAGGCCCCACCCATGTCTAACTGGAAAGAAAAGTCAGTACATCCTTCTAGCAACAGTGTAAAGTTTAGGGCAAGAAATACAAGACGTGAGCTTCAAAACCATCTTCTTTCCACATTCCATTCGCCTTCATGATTTATATGCACAGTTTGCAGCAGTGATAACACTTCACATTTACATAACCGTGATAACAAGCAGAGTTCCAAGTAACAATACAAAACAGAAGCCTGTCATCACATTCCCATTAACCATTTCCTTCAAAAAACGACCTGTTTTAGACAATCGGACAATCACCTTGCCAAATTAGCACCGACCACATGGATGGAGAACAACTCCTGCTGGAAATTTAGGGCTCAGTACAGTCAGTGACTTTAAAGACACGCTGCCCACCAGCGCTGGTGAGGAAGGGGCAGCTTCCAGAGCCGTCACACTGCACCTGAGAGCTCTGCAGCTTCCAGCTGCAGCCAGTACTTGCTGACCCCAGGCCAACAACCCCCGCATTTGTTATTTCATGTCCTACAGTCCTGCAAAGCGCTGAGGATTTCAGCTAGAACTCTGCATGGTGCTCATTCCCTGGTTCCACATGCAAGAAAAGTGAAAAACAAAAGTTTGGAAAGGGATGCTCACTTATCAACAACTTATTATATTCCTATATACTTATATACCCGCTTATTAACCACTTAACTCCCAGCAAGACTTTTTTTTTTTTTTTTTTTAAACATAAACTCTCTAATTCAATGTTGTGGAAACATAGCACTTATGAAAAATAAGGGAGTGAGGAATTCTAAGAGTTAAGTCATCCATTTTGCATATAAAAAGTCTTACAGCACAAGGCGTTTACAGATAACCAGCACCTTCTGTCTCATACACATTAGCTGACTGCCTAAAGCCGTTAACGCTTGCCCTGCTGTCCTTTGTTAAGAGTACAAATCTGCATGGTTTTTGCAACAGCAAGAGCTGTCTCCACCTGCACCCCGGTGGCTTGCCCTCCACCACCCCGCCCCGAAGGGAGATGCTCTGCACATCTTCGCTGCATTAGCAGTCCAAGCAAGATGGTAGCTCAATAAGCACTGTTATTTAACCATAGTAGGGTGCTGCGCGCTACAACGCATTACAGTTGCTATGGCATTCAGCTGGAACATGTGCATCCAACACCTCCCTTGTCAAGCACACAGCATAAACTGAGACTTTGTTCCCTGCCATTTCACACCCATGGTGGAAGATAATAATTGCAGCACAATGCATCACATTCAGTATTTCACATTAACAGCTTTAGTGGAGAAAACAAAGGAGCCAGATACACGTCTCAACTAAACTGGAGATTCATAATTTTTTGTTAAGAAATATGGATAGCATTTAATACGGTAAGCTTTAAAATAAAAGATAATATTCCAGTTACAGAGAGGAAACCCTTCCGTAACAGTAGGGAATGACACACCGTGCAGAGGGAAAGAAAAGGACCCGGTTTCCCCCCGTCTGCTCCCAAGTACGGTGACGCCAAAAAAGGGCATCAGCTGCCACCGCACTGCGCCGTGCAATCTTTGCTCAGTGGTGAAATACTTAGCATTAGAACAGCGGCTGTGCCACCACCTCCATCACCCCACCGAAACGAGCTCCGTTCCCACGTACCTGTCTAAGTCACTCTGCAAGCACAAAGCAGCCTGCCGGAGCTGCCTGCGCTGCTTCAGCCGTCCCAGCTCAGATGATAAAAGCACACAATAACAAAGTCTGTAAGACGAGCTCTGGACTGGACGTTGTTGTGACTCCCAGCACTAAACTAACAAGGTTATTTTTACACCATCACCGGGAGCTTCAGTTTGCGTATTGGAGCTTCTTCCCACAACAAAAAAGCGAAGGCCGCACCTCCAAGCTTTCTGGCAGACGTTTGTCCGCGAGCTCCCACCGACACACGGCACGGCCTCACCGCGGCGGGCCAGCACATCTCCGCAGGACGAAAAACCCGCTGATACACAGCGTGCAGCTGCAGGCAGCGAGGCGCCTTCGCTGAGAAACACGCCGCGGTTTACAAAAAAATTAAAAGTCAGAGAGAGAAAGCAACGCCGCTACAGCTCCCACCCCGTCACAGCCCGCGGGTGTCACACAGCGCCTCCGGTCAAACAACGCCGCGAAAAACAGCGGCAGCGCCGTAACGAACCGGCGAACAAGGAGAGAAGTTTCCCACCCGAGGCCGAGTCCCATCAGCAGCGCGGCCCCAGCAGCGCCGCGCGGCCACCGCGCGCCAGACGGGCAACGGCGGCACCGCGGCTCGGCCCGGCGCTGCTACAACAACGCCGACATCTCGCGATGGCTCTCCAGCGTTTTGCGGTTCGCGCACGGAGCTCCTTCTCGTCGCCGCTAGCCGAAGTAACGCGGCACGCGCGCGGATCGCCACCCTCCCGCCGCGCAGGGCCGAGCGGAGCCCCGCGGACACAGCGCCGGGCCCAGGCGGCGGGCGCCAGGTGAGCGCCGCACCACGGCACCGCGGAGGCGAAAAGGCAGAGCCGGGTGGGGGAAGCGGCGGCCCCCGGGGCCGGGAACGGCGGGACGCAGCGGGGGGGGCCGCCCCGGAGCCGCCCGGCCTTCCCTTCCCCTTCCCTT